GCACTTAGTCAAGGACTAATATCCGACAATTGCAAAATTTTACACTATATTGAGGAAGATAACTATAAGCCAAATGGGAAGTATTCATTCAAATCTGAGTCCACATGATTTTTTTTTTTTAAATGTAATGTACTGCTAGAAAATTCACTTTTTTTATACCAACATTTCCGCCAAATAGAAACATTCATTGGTTTTTTGAAAAAAAAATAATAAAAATAAATAAATAAAGAAGTCAAGACGACAGAGATGGTTGGACGGTAAATTGGTCAGAATTTCCGACCAATTTTTATATGTTGTTCGAAATTTATAACCAACATTAATACATTATATATTGGCCGGAATTTCTAGCCAACACTATATGTTGGTCGGAATTTCTAATCAACGTTTATATGTTGGACGGTAAAACCTAATAGATTGGTACGTAAGTAAAAAGTTAGACTAGTAAGTTCGACCATTTATCAACCAATATTGTTGGACGGAAATCGAGTACTTAAATATTCATCAGCTCGTTTCAACTCGATCATATATGTGTGATGGATCAACAGTAAGTTTTAAAAATATATATTTGTCATGTATATAATGTCAAAGGATTTGATCGAACTACATTAAATAAGACTTATTTACTACGGAGTACAATTTAAAATACACTTTCAAAAAGACAATAAATTTAGACTGCGCCAATAACTAATATCCAACAACTACAAACATTTACTCCAGATTATAATTGGAGTAATTTTTAACTATGTTCATGAACATTATTTTTTCTTTTCTAGCAATATATTTATGAATGACAGAGTTTCTATGACGTAGATTAACATAGACGCTGATAGTAACTAATTTAACTTTCATAGTTGCCTTAGTTTCTAGTTTCCGTAATGCTTGAGCCGTGGAGTTTACATATGATGTTGGACGAAAATACCCATATGATGACCAGTCATCATTTTGGTTGGCATGTTAGTCGGAAATCCATTTTCTGACCAATAAACTCCGTTAGTGAGATTTCCAGCAAAGATCATCCAGTTTTCCATTTCAGGTGAAAGCAGCAGCTGAAATCAAACAGAAGGCCAGCAACAAACGATGAGGAGAAAGTTAAGGCTATACATACAAATGACATGCAGTTTCCCGTTCTGGTTTCACTGTGATTATGTGGCGCCTGGAAATGTGTACTGGGGATTCAATAATCTTCTTGATTCTGTTCTGGAAAACATCCTTTATGTGAGGAATTAGAAGCTTCTCAAGCTCAACTTCCATGGGGTCATCCCACGTAGCCATTTGTGAGCTTCCCTTGTTGGCTTTCTTGAGCATTGAGCATATAATACAAAAGGTAAATGTATTTTTAGTGGAAACAGAACATATCCTCCAATTTATTTTTGGGCTATTTTTCTGATTTTGAGACCTAAGCTCATTCATTGCACTATGGAGTTTTTTTGTCTAATAACTCGTAACTCTTTATCTTTGCACATCATAACGATTGCTTATTAGTATAGTAGATATATGGGAACAAAGGCCTAAGTACAAAAATCACAAAAAGTTCAATTTGACTTAAAATAAAACACAATAGTTGGGCTTTTACCTACTAAATATAAATTATTAATAAAATAAGATTCATACCATCCAAAATCAATTGTTATACGGTGGACCATGGTCCAAAAACGTCATCATTTTCTAAAAGTAAAAGTAAAAATAAAAAATAAAAATAGAAACGGCGGCCGTTATGCTTAACTAATTCCATATTTATGATCTGCTCATAATAAAATGAAACTATTGTATCTAAAATGAAACTGAATAACATGTCTTACATAATGAGTGTATGTTGTCAAATGAAATTGTAGTTGAATTAGAATAATACTTTAGTTATGTTGTAATGAAACTATAGTGTATCTAAAATGAAACTAAGTAACATGTCTCATATATTATGTGTACATTGTCAAATGAAACTGTAGTTTAATTAAAATGATACTTTTGTTGTGTTGTAATGAAACTACAGTAGTATAAAACGAAACTGAATAACAAGTCTCATATATTGAGTTTATATTGTCAAATGAAACTGTAGTTGAATCAAAATGATACTTTAATTGTGCTGTAATGAAATTACTACAATGTATATAAAATGAAATTGAGAAACATATTTTACATATTGAATGTATATTGTCAAATGAAATTGTAGTTGAATCAAAATGATACTTTAGTTGTGTTGTAATAAACTACAGTGTATATAGAATGAAATTGAATAGTCATAAAAAATAGAATTAATTGCTGTTTCTTTTCATTAAAAGAAACGGCACCGTTTTGGACCATGGTTCACACAACTGTGTAAACCATGCTCCAAGTAAAATTTGCCATCAAAATAAATTGGGCCCAAGTGATGTCAAGAGGCAAATTTTACTGTGGACCATTGTCCAAAACGGTGTCATTTCTTTTAATGAAAAGAAAAGGCACCCATTCCATGTAATTAATTTTGTTTGTATAGTATATTCAGTTCGATTTTATATAGATTGTAGTTTCATTTCAGCACAACTAAAGTTTCATTTTGTTTCAACTACTGTTTCATTTGACATAAATACATAATACATATAATAGTCTTATTATAGTGAGACGTGTTATTGAATTTCATTTTATACACATTGTAGTCTTATTACAAAACTACTAAATTATAATTCTAATTCAACTACGTACTGTTTCTTGGACAATATACACTCAAATATGTGAAACTGTTATTCAATTTCATTTTATATACACTGGATATAGTTTATTACACCAAAATTAAAGAATCATTTTGATATAACTAGAGTTTCATTTGACAATATACACTCAATATGTGAGACATATTATTTAGTTTATTTTCATATATATTGTAATTTTATTTCAGCACAACTAAAGTATCATTTCAATTCAACTATAGTTTCATTGACAATATACACTCAATATGTGAGACATGTTATTCAGCTTCATTTTATACATACTGTAGTTTTATTTCAATACAACTAAAGTATCATTTCAATTCAATTACAGTTTCATTTGATAATATAAACACTATATTTAAGACAAGTTATTTTATTTCATTTTTGATACACTGAAATTTCATTTTGTTCTAAGCACACCAGAAACACAGAATTTATTAAATATATATAATGGCCGTTGTTTCTTTACTTAAATAAATCTCATCATTTTAAACTATAATTTACACAGTTGTATAGACCATAATCCACCGCATAACAATTGACTTCAAGATAGACATCGATATGTAGAAAGACCACCAAGATGAGGGTATTAGACTCAAATCGAATCTCATCACCAAATGTGAAAGCACTTGAGTGTTTAATTTACGTGATTTATACTGTGCTGCCAACTACAAAATTAAGGATGTCTTTATTAAAAGGTTACATTAAGTCGTTCAGCGCTAAGCATTAAATTCTACCGCTCATTCGATAATCTGAATTACATAATATTATGTCATTAACAATATTTTATGATCCCAATAACATAATATGATATTAAAAATATTCGGAAGTTCATGATGCAATATATCAACACTTCTTTAATCTCAGACACTTTTTTGAAGAAATTAAAATTATCAGATTCAGACGTATATTTTAATATGGATGTTTGAAGATTTTCAAAATCTAGCCAAATTGTTTCTAGCATACTAATCGGTCAAAAAGTACATTGGAAATATTTTTATATTATTTTTTAAAATTGTTTAGACATATCAATACATCGTATTTTCTTATTCATGATATTTTTCTTTTCCCAAAATGTTAAATCCACAACTTCAAGGCCCCTCACATTCTAACTCGACAAAATATTTGAAAGGATATAAATCACGATGACTTCTTTTCCAAAAAAAAAAAATCACAATGACTTAATGGCTCAATAAACAAGTCAAAATGCCGGTGCGCACAAAGAATTTGCCTACTTGATATGCCGTAGTATGTTGAAAGAGTTTCAAATGGTGGCCATACATTATATATATATATATATATATATATATATATATATAAAAAGGTGTCAAAAAATTTCTAAGAATGCATGGTATATCATAGAAATATGTTGAGAATTGCATGTTATTGGTAGTAAGTAAAATAGAAAGATGATAGTGATGGAGGTAATAATTGAAGTAGTAATTAGATAAATCGTGTTAATTAGGGTGTCGATAATTAGCGTTAAAGATATATGAGTAGGTACTGGTGATGACGGTAATCATGGCACTAATACAAGTAAGTTGGTAAGTAAATCATGTTTGAATAGATATGATACGATATGAATGTAATGGTAATAGTTAAATGGACACATGTAATGGTAAGTAGGTGGATATTCACTCGTGCCAATATAGATAACGATCAAAAAATAAAACTTTTTATTAAAAAAAAACTACTTAATTTCTTTAAATCCAATAAAATCGTGTACCCATAGAAGTATGGTATATTGTCATTCCAAGGTGTTGGTAATTGGTACATAATAACACCAATGTTATCATTTTACACACAACATATTAATAAATAAAAAATGTGTTTTTTTTTTCTTTATGACATAATATATATAATAATTACTATATAATCTCACTCGTTTATCCTTTTTAAGTTGACTATGTTACATGGTAATATATATTCTATATTTTCTCTATCGGTTGCAGTCTATAGAGTCAATATCCAGCGCAGAGATTCAATCTTGTGACCTTCTAGGGGAGTCATAGAAGTGTCAATCTGAACACAAGGTACTTGGCTCACTTGCCTATCCTTTTAATTTTTTATTTTTTATTTTTTATTTTTTAAATACAAGTTAGAGGTATTAATAAATTAAAAAAAAATTGCTATTTTTTTCTTTAAAAAAAATAATACACAATACATGCATTATTAATTTATTTTTATTGACTAGGTTAGGAAAAATATTTTTTTTAAAAAAATTCTTTTTACGATAAAGAATGTAATCAAATGCTCCGATTCTGATTTACAAAATTTCCATATTTGCATTAATAGCATTTAATTTCTACTGCTATTTCTTTTTGGTCTCTTCTCAAAGAGCTTCCCCTGTACAGCTAGTTCTCTGTATCCGTCTCTCTCCCTCCATCTATATATATATATATTTATATATGTGTGTGTATATATATATATGTATATCCACCCACACAAACCAATGAATGCATTGGTGTCTGTGATCTCTGGCTGGTATGTGGAATGTTTTCTCATTGTTTTGTTGAATTGTTCAGTATGTGGGGGTGTGGGGATTGAGGATCATGGTGATCTCAAACCCTAGGGGAAGCTAACTGCATTGCTATCAATCATATGAAATTTTTATTTGATCTGGAATGAATGTCCTTTTCAGGAGTTTTGCTTAATTTTTGCCTGCTAATTGTTTGATGGATTTTAATTTGCTGTTATCCCTCTTCTTAGTTGTCTGCATTGGTGTTATATGACCATTTCTTGGTTTGTTAATTTTTATTGGGGTGTGCAGGATGTAGAGTTTAGTTAAAATGGCATTTAGAGGGTTGGTGAATGAGGATTAGCTTTCTCACTTGCCAGTTGTAAGTTGGGAGTGTTCAGGAAACCAGCTAAACCCCTTGCCCCAATTGAATTTGTGTTGTCAGAATAATTGAGGTTTTTGATTATTACACATTGCTTGTGCTTGAGCTTTTATTTTGTTGTTGAGCTGATTAAGTTTTCCTCCGACTCTGTTGATGCTAAATGTGCCTTTTGGTGTGAGATTTTAAGTTGGACAGGAGGGTTTAGTTCGTTAATCCTAATTCACCTGGCCTCAAAATGTGAATTCAACTAAACTCGAGTGCTCGACAGCCTTCATAACTAATGAAAACGTGTCTTCTTATGCAGTCAGCCTGAGGTTTCAAGTTAAACTGGAGATTTTGCACTAGTGCTTTGAGTTTGACCTGGAACTGTTAGTTGGTACTTTCATTCTGTTTCTATGTCCACACATGTAGCCCATGCTTGGTTATGATGTTGGTTATGTTGTTTGGTTAATCTATAGTACAGTACAAGTTTCTTATGGATTATTGGCTCAAGTAGGCTAAAACATTTGCAATCTTTGCCAAACATGTAAAAGTGCATTATGTAATTAAGCTTTTACCAACTGGGTACATGAACACTCAACCGCTCGAGTTTGTCAATTGCTGATCCTAGAATGAGGCTGGCATACATAGTATAACTGTATAAGATATGCATGTAGTTCACTCATTGCACCATAAATGTTGGGTTGGAACTGTTTCAGAAAGTTTTCTGTATTTTGTACATTAATTTCGGATATCAATTTAGGTTTGATTTTTCGCTAATTCTAGCAACATAGTTTATTAATTTTCTTACCTGAATATATATTTGATAAAGTTTTATACTTAAACCAGATTTGGTTCAAAGTAGGGAAGAGTTTTGGATTAAATGGAATATACATATGTTCCCCTTTTCAAGGTGATTTTGTCATTTTTGTATAATATACTGTATAACTTCTCACTCTCGTTTTTTTTTTTTTATTACTGTAGTTGCATTTTGTGAGCGGTTAGCTTAGAGATAGATGCCAACTGCAAGGCTAAGCACTGTTGGATCTTCAGATGCAATGGAATCAGTTGAGGGGAATGATACCCTTTACACATTGATTAGTCAAGCTACAGGGAAAGACCCTATCGTCTCAGGGGACAAACCTATACAGTGGATACAGTTACTTCATGCCTTAGAGCAGCCAGGTATTAAAATGTTTTCCTAGTGGTAACTAGTTTAACTGCTCAACAATGAAGGTAACCATCCGTATGATTATGAAATTCTCTTAGCTGTTATGCTTATTGAAGTAGTGGCATAAGGAATTTATTTACATTAAAAAAGTGCTGCATCCACTGCTACAAGTATACAGATATAGTTGATGAATATGATAGGAAGTCCTTGCTTATCTCCTGGCAAAGCAAATTGATAAGCCCGCAAAAGAGCATGCTTTTTAGGTTTTAAATTGTTGAAATAATTGTACCTGCATAGGCATAGATAGTGATTGGGTTCCTGTGCTTTTCATGCAGATCTTCCATATTGGCCTATAGTTACTCCTGTGAAGGTTCAGATGCATAAATGTGAGAAATGTTCTCGAGAATTTTTTTCATCAATTAACTACCGAAGGCATTTACGCCTGCACCGTCGAGCCTTAAATTTTGACAAGGTATTCCTAGTTTGTCTTTGATTATTTAGTCTGATGATGTTGGCAGTTGCCTTTTTTGAAATCATGAAGGTATTTTGATTACTTGTATTCATTAGGGTTCCAAAGTGAAACACCCAGAAAAAAACAGATGTACAAAATCCTCCAAACCAAATGTTAGAAACTTGAACACTATCTCTGAAGTCAGCCACGTGAATATCATTTTTATGTGACTTTACATGAATCCAAACAAAATATGCACAATAATTCTTAGAACTGGTAATTGGCATCAGTATATCATCAGAATGCTGATAATTCCTCTTGTTCTAAATAAGCCACATCAAACACACAGGGATTAAGTACCATTCATGATGTTTCTTCCTGTTTCTCTTGAAATTCCTGTTTTTTATCAAAACCTTTAACCCTACCAGGAATCACCCATTGTCCATTGAACACCCACTCAAAAAAGCAAAGTTAGAGCACCATGAAATTATTTCTTCATTTTCTAAAATTACTTTTTTTTTTTTTGGGTTTTTTTTCATCAATTATGTATCTACCCATGAACTTGATTGCTTGTGCTCTTCCACTCATGAATAACCTTTCTTTAATTAGATAATTTTGGCAAAGCATTTTCATTTGTTTAGCTATTTGGCTCTGATGATGTTGGTTATTTCCTTTTCTGTATTCATGCAGTTATTTATTCATTTTTAAAATTACCTTCTAGGGTTTTATTCTGTAAGTGTGAACTTGATTGTGCATAGTCTTCCAATCACGAATCACCTTAATTAGATGATGTGTTTTTTAATACCAACGACAAGATTCCTTATTACCCTTTGGTCAAGTGAGACAGCATCTTGACAAGTGATTTGGCTGAACTTTTCTAATTGAATGTCCTTGAATATCTGGTGTTTATATTTACTTTTCTAGACCTATATTTATGTGTTTAACTTTTATGTTATGCTGATATATTTAAATTATGCAGGAGTCTCGCAAATATAGAGATTTACTTGGAGCATTTTGGAATAAGGTAGTCAATTCCTTTCTACTGTTATACCATTGTGCGTTGTTTTCCTTCAATCACAAAATGCTCATTAATGTTATCTACATGCCAGCTTTCATTGGAGGAGGTTAAGGAAGTTGCATCATTGAATGACATTTCACTAAAGGTAATAGGATGCTTACTACATAAATCCTCATGAATATGTGAAATTATGAGGCACACATTTACTGAGAGAAGACTGACGAACATGGACTAATTGTTTTAGGACATTCCTGGGACCTTACTTGTCAAAACACTGACAGAGTCTCTCCAAACATCAAGTGCCTGGATGTGGAGTCTTCCAACTGTTTATATGAAAGCTGGCACTACCTTAATGGTAAGGTTGCAATGGTGATTTTTTCTGCCAACCCTCGTATCTTCAAGTTCTACTATTTCTCTTTCTTGTTTTTACGATTTCTTTGCTAAGTAGGCATTTTTTTGCAGGATATTATTGAAGCTAAACCTTCCAGGCTTCCAATATCATCCCTGGAATTATTTAGTGTCCTTGATGACGCTAGTGAGGGAACATTTCTATGTGCTGGGACAGCAGACTCGATGCAAAAATATTTATTCGATGATGAAGTTACAAAAGTTTGCCTCGAGCTGAGGAATTTAGCTGCATGCATATGCTTTGCTTTTGAACAGAAACTGGTATATTATACTCGTCTGTTAATAATTGACAATCTTTGTGTGATCAACGTTTAGTTTTGGCATGTGAATATGAGCATTATAAATCCTGATGCAGTGATGCACCCCATTCATGGATTTGATCTGGAATCAAAGTTTGGCATGTTGTTTCTGTTGCATAGATGTTCTCTTTTGGCTCAACTCTCTTGTAAAATGGATTTAATCCTCCTACCTTGATTAGTGTTGTTCCTTTGTGATCAGGTAAAAGCATGGATTGCTGACAAAGAAGCCGAGGCATTGAGATGCCAGAAATTGCTTGTGGAGGAGGAAGAAGCTGCTCAGAGAAGGTATGTTGTACTTATTCATATTTAATGTGCCCAAACTGTTTTCAAGAGGTGCTTCTGCTAATGCCAATTGCCAAAAGGACATTTGTGTTTTCGTTTGAGAAAATATTTCGAATTTAATCTTTTGACTTTATGATGTATTTCCATTTATATGAGTGATTTTTCTTCTTCGGATGACTACCCTAAAAATATGAACAGGCAAACTGAGTTATTGGAAAAGAAAAGACAGAAAAAGCTAAGGCAGAAAGAACTGAAGGCAAAGGATCAAATGAGTGAGGGAAAAGCGAGCCTTGTTGGGAGTGCTGATTCTTCAGAAAATCCACTGGTGGCAGAAATATCCAGTCCTCCCACCCTGTTTGATTCTGACTCCAATACTCTTGATGTAGCAGAGGATGTCTCCGACCTAGAAATGATTCACTTAGAAATGAATGATGAGGACATTAAAGCAGTTGAATTGGGTATTGTTCAGAATACCGAAACTAAGCAGAAAGATGGCACTTCCATGGAGACAGAGAAAGATAAAATGCAAAATGAGCAGAGCTTTTGGTTCATGTCTCAGAATGAAGAAAGTCAAAATGAGTGTGAAGTGATGATTGGGTCCATATCTGTGCCTGTGAAAAATTGCCCTATTCACACACGACGCACAAAAACACATGATCATGCTGGCAACCCAGAGCCAAAAGGGCTGAATGAAAATCAAGAATGTGATCTCAGCCTTGGCAGCAAAACCAGTGTGCCATCTGATGATTGGGTTCACGTGACCAGGCGTGGAAAGGGGCCAAAGGGCAGACAAGATAACGAAGAGCGTGCTTCAGTGAAAGTTGGTGATCAAAATCTATCCTGTGCAACCTCTGTGCAATTATATGCTGATGGGAAAAGTCCTTCTCATCAGCTGCCAGACTGTAACACACATGCAAAAGTCTTGCCATTCTCCAGTGGTACTGCAAAAACTTTTCTGACAAAGAGTATGTTCTCCGTTTATCCAATTTGTTTACTTTATCTATTCTCATCGACATTTCACTAATTATTGTCAAATATCTATTTCGGTGAACTGACTGATCTGAAAAACAATGCAGGATGGAATGAGGTCGTCTCAGGTGATCATGTGAAGTTGGTCATTTCCGCTGTTCCTAAATCTCCAGGAAGTCCCAGCACCCACAGCAACCTTCAAAAATCTGCTCCTCCACCTTCAGCACCCAAGAAGCACAGCATTGTTGGAGAGAATCAAAGAAGAAGATGAAAGTGAGAAAAACCTCGTTTTTTAGGTAAAGGAGAAGAATGCTGCTGACGACTAGAGCTGGTTTGAAGCCTTTAATCCATTCAGCAGCGAGAGAAGAGGTTTTGTGCTGTGTAGACTTCTTCTATTGGGAAAGTGAAGGTGTTAGGACAGATAGCTTATATGTTTCTTCTTAGGAATAGCATAGAACTTGGCCTCTTTTATATGTTTGTTTTCTTAGTTGAAATCTCATCTTGGCTAGTTGGCTTTGGACATCAAATATTTCATGGAATAGATTGCTTTTTAGTTTTCTTATTTATTTATTTTGTGGTCATATTAGAAGCATTGTGGATTTGTGATATCCCGTGGTTGCCCAATAGCCAGAGAATGAAGTGAAATGATTTTTTTTTTCAGAAAACGATGGCAAATTATTAGTATTGAGAATATGGGGGAGGGAGAGAATATTCTTGACTCATAATTGACTTATGTCAAGGGAAGTCAATTGGGCCAGCCCGACAGGTTTTGGGCTAATTTTGTAGAGCTGTTGGGCTTATTGGCTTGAGTTAAATGGTCTTTTATTTTATCTTTTGGATTGGGTTGGCCATAACCTTAAATTGCGGGCTATTGGGCTAATTTTGCGAGTTGAATCACTTAACAAAACTGAAAAATAAGAGCGGCTATTCACATTTGGTGGAGCGGGATGAGTTTTAAAAAAATCTACCTACCATGTCGACGAGTTGGAACGAGATAATGTATAGTTGAAATTATGTTGTGCGTGTGTGTGTATATATATATACTAGTTTTACACACGCATTGCGCGAATGAGTTAATGCCTAATGTTTATAATTAAAAAATATTTGAAAGTATATCAATGCAAGATTATATATGAGAAGTTCATAAGTAATTTAATGTCGAATTTGTTTATTTAAATATGTAGCTAATATGAATACAATGTAATATAAGAGATTCATTATAATTGTTACTAAACTTTTTTTTAAATAGTAACCAAGTATTTTTGTTGCAAAGGGTTCTAATATATTTAATGAATGCACATATATACAAGATCAATTAATGAATCAATGGTACCAGTCCTTTAGGTGTTTTGCTCAGTGTTCATTTAGTTCAACCATTATTATTGAATAAATTGTTATGGATAAAGAAATTCCTAATTTAAAGAATTTAGATGTAGTAAAAATTTAAAAATTTTAATTATAATGTAATCCAAAGATATTGGACGATTGGTAAATATGATGTAACCCAAAGATCAAAATGCTAAAGAAAGTGTTTGATTATTCAACAGTTTGAAGCAACAATTTGTTCCAAACCACTGAAAATACAAACATTGCAATTTAAAATATTTTCACTTAGCGTTTTTGAGAATGATTTCCCCAAAACACCCCTATATTTAAAATAAAAATAAAAATTACTGTAGAGCCATTTCAACTCCTTGAATAACAAGAGCCAGTTTTGCTGGCTCACTGCTTACCCATCAACGGATGGGTAAGCTTAATTTTTAAATTGGAGCCTTAAGGCTCCTTTTATAGGAGCCTCAAGGCTCCCATGTCACTTTTCTCACTGATGTGGAAAAAGCGGCAAAACTAAGGAGAGCCGAACGTTCGGCTCTCCATATGGTTTTTTTTTTTATTAAATTATTATTATTATTATTATTATTTTAATTTTAAAAATAATAATAATAATAATAATAATAATTATAATAATAATAATAATAATAATAATAATAATAATAATAATTATTATTATTATTATTATTATTATACCCTTAAGTCATTTTACATGTTAATCTAAACATTTAATTTTTTTAAAATATCTTTTTACCAACCGTTGATATAATTTGCTGGTCAAATCCGCTAACGCTAACCGCTAATTTCTGATTGTCAAACAAGGACATTGCAAGGTAGTTTCCCACTTCAATTTGTTGTGTGATTTGGATACTCTCTTTGTCAACAAATCCCTCAAGTAGTTAATATAATTGGCTTAATTATATTTTTTTTAATTTTTTCATGGTATTAATAAAATACTTGGCAAATAAATATAGAGCATTATTTTGTATTATAAATATGATATTTAATTAAAAAATAGTGCACAAAAAAGATAATAGACAATGCACTAATGTAGTGAATATAATCAATTGATGAAGTTGAATGTAAAAAATATTTTTTACATTGGAGAAAAATAAAGACAATATAACTAATGAAATTTTTTCTCTTAATTAATTTATTGATAATAATAATAATAATAATAATAATAATAATAATAATAATAATAATAATAATAATTATTATTATTATTATTATTATTATTATTAAAATGAGTTTAATTAGGTCACATTGTAATTATATAAATATGTAGGCACTAATCCCAAATCTAAACCTATTTAAAGTAGACCAAAACAACTCCAATTCATTTCTCTTCTTTCCAAAACCCTAGCGCCGCAACGGGTGAACCAACAACGACAACGGTGAAAATCAACAACAACATGGCAAAAAGTGGAAGGATTTTGAAAATCCTCGTAATCATAGCATGATTTTTAACAAAATCAACAACAATAGCAAAATCGAGAGCGCGATAGTTTTGAAACCGAATGATGACAAGAACTAAAGGCTAGCATTTCTCTCTCTTAATTTTAGTCATGATAGTGTGAGCATCTCATAAATGATATGGCAGTGATGAGGACGAAGACTTAAAACTTTGTGGTGTTGTTTTCTTAATTTCTTCAATTTTCTATAAAAAAAGAATATTGCAAGCAGAGAGGTTGGTCTGCTAGATGAGGAGAAGATTTAGGGGCAATTTTGACTTTGACATATTAAATGCAATTAGTTGTACGGAAATGCTGCCCTAACTAGCATTTTGGAAAATGATTGATAAATGTCAATTTTTAGTTGTTTGGTTTGGTCAAATACTTAAAATTAATCAAATCAACTGAAAAATAGTTGATCAACCATTTTTTAAGCACTCCCAATATCGTTGACTATATGATTAGAATCCATTAGAAACCATCGGTATCAGCATATGAATCATAACAAAGAAGAATAAGGCAAGGATAGGGAATACTTCAGCAGAAATCTAGACAACTTTGCGCTTATGATATGAGCACTGATAAGCCAATTAAAACTTTTTAGTGATTTTTAGTTTGTAATTTGGCGGGATAGACTGAAATTGAGGACAATCAAATAGTTGTGGGCCGAAATTTACAACATTGAATCGGTTTGGACAAAAATTGACAATTTTTAAATACGTGGATCCAAAATTAATAATACTTCAATAGTCATAGGTCTAAAAGTAACATTTTTTTTTTTCACAAAATGCGTCACTTTTGTTCATGTGACTATTGGGACATTATTAATTTCAGCCACGAATTTAAAAATTGTCAATTTCAGTCCAAACATATTCAATTTTGTAAATTTCAGTCCACAACTATTAAATTGTTGTATATTCACACGCCTATAAATACCCTCATCTTTTACAGAAGAAGGTAATGGATGGCCATTCTAAGTATTCTAGTGAGAGAAAGCTCAAAAACTTATCAAGTTTTTGCGACTAGTGAGAGAGATAAAAGGTTAAAGTTCAATCCAGATTCAAGAAGTCTTGAGTTGTTTCAACGTGCAAATTTCTATATTCAAGAAGCCAAGATTTCAAGTTGGAGAAAGAAGAAAACTCATTTAATTTCTTCGACCTTGTATTCTCTACATGGATAAGTAGAAAAAGGCGGAGTAAACTCGTTGAGTTGAAAAACCTGGTGGTGCAAGTTTGTGTACGGCTTTGTGTTCAAAGAGCAAACTTGGTAGTGAATTTTGTACTAAGGAGTTTTAGTGCAAACCTTCACGCGTTGTGAAGGGGAGTGGAGTTGGATTAGTTAACAACCGAACTACTAATATATATATATATATATATATATATCTTTACTTACTGTTTTATTATTGCATACATTTTACGCTCAAACCAGCCTAAGTTTTTAACAAGAAACAAACGTGCAAATAGAATTGAAAAGGGTTACAAATATTTTTCGTTGTGCATTAAAACTCTGAACTTGTGCTAGACTCATTCCGTAATCCTATCGGGACGAACACAAAAGTCTACATATTATTTGAATTGACATCTTTGTATCTATGGACTTTTACATAAAAATCCATACTTACATCTCTGTATCTATGAACATGAATGGATCAAGTTTATTAATAGAAGTGTAAATTTACTTCCTCACATGTACTTTGACAACTACAAAATTTGTATCTATGGACATGAATGTAACAAAACTCTCAAACTCTCAACAAAGCATTGAACGATGAGATGTTTTTCATGATTGCAAGTCACAAATTAACTCTAGTTGAGGTTGATGCTACTTATGTTAACCCCTTTTAGACAGAAACCATTTTCATCGGTCCAGGTCAGATTGTGATCCAAGACACTCTTGGGTAAATGCTCTTCCAATTCCTTATGAAGTTTCTATTAGAATTGTAGGCTTTATTGCCTGAAACGAGAGAAAGCACAACATAAGTGCCTTGATTTTTGTTTTAGGGATTTTAGATTTTATATGTATATTGTTAATTTTTAGATTAAGACAACTGTCGTCAAAATATACATTTATTTTAATTGAATTTTAGTGGCAGTTAAAAGAATTGCCGCTAAAATACACATTAAATTAAAATGAAATTAAAATATTTTCTAAGTTTCAGTACAAAATTAGTGGCGATTTCTATAACTTTCGCAAAATACTTATTTAGCGTCAGTTGTATATAACCGTCGCTAAGTATATGTTGTTAAAAAATCAATTTGTTGTAGTGTACATCAGCCCTCATTAATGATTGTAGGTGGCCTTATTTGGTAAAATAGGTAGCCTATCAGTCAATTTTGGTTTATTTGACCACTATTAATTGTTTAACTTGGTTAAAAAATCAATATAAGTGTTTGGTTAATTAGCTATCTTTAACTCTAAAAAAACTAAAATTCAAAAAGTTGCTTAAAGCAACTTTTTCAATTAGTTTTTTGAGAAAAGAAATTATACCAAACAATTATCAGCTAACAACTAATTTACCAAACACATTTCTACAATCAGCTAATGTTATCAACTAGTTATATCTTTTAATTAACCCAATCAGCTAACAGTTAACAGCCATTTACTAAACAGAGCCGGTATCTTAGACTGCGATTTGGGAACGACTTTTTTGGATCACCTGCCCGATTCCATGCGGGACTTGTTGGTTGCTAATGCCCACGGTGCCATTACTCGCAAAGTGTGGTAACGCGGTTTTCCAATTGTTATGTTGTGGAATCGTGTCCACCTTGTAAAGTGGACACGATTTTATGTTCATAATTACTGAATTATATGTTCATAATTATAAATTTATATATTTATAATTTTTGAACTTCATATTCATAATTATTGAACTCTATATTTACAATTATAGAACTCTATGTTCATAATTATTGAACTATATGTTCATAACTATAAAGCTATATATTCATAATTTTTGAACTTCATATTTACAATTATTGAATCTCTATATTCATAATTACAAAACTATATGTTCATAATTATGTTTACAACTCTATGTTCATAACTATAGAACTATATGTTCATAATTTTTAAATTATATATTCATAATTATGAACAGTTTTAGAACCGTGTCCACCTTACAGTTCCACAGCATAATTTGCCGCAGTTTTCCCGTTTCTCTCGTGGGTCCTTTCTCACCAAAAAAAAAAAAAAAAAAGGAGTGTGTAGAATGACAAATTATTGTGTGGACCATGAATATCAGGTACATTTTTAATATATTAAAAGTACATTATTTTTGTACTGAAGGTACATTATATAAAATAATGTACTCTTAATATATTAAAAATGTACTTTCAAAAAATGTACATTACATACATAAATAATATACTCTTAGTATATTAAAAATATATTTTTTATTTGTGGTTCACATAATTGTGTGGAGCATGGTCCATGTAATAATGGTAAGTGTAGAATTATTACGCAAATGCAAAACTGCAGAAAGCCCGGCCCACGGGAAACATGAGACAGTGGGGTAAATTACGTTGTGCATCCGTATGCACCATGCATGGTGCATACGGATGCAAAAACGACGTCGTTTTATTAAAAGCGCGCATCTCCCCTTAAAAAAAAAATTAGGTTCGATTTCCAGCAACAACATATGAACTAAAATTTCAGAACCGATGAACTAAAATTTCAGAATTGATGAACTATAATTCCATAATCGATGAACTATAATTCCATAATCGATGAACTAAAATTTTCCCAGAATCTAATCTATGAACTAAAAATTCCAGAATGAATGAACTAAAATTCCAGAATCTATGAACTAAAATTTCAGAATCGATGAACTACAATTCCAGAATCGATGAACTACAATTTCAGAATCGATGAACTATAATTCCAGAATCAATGAACTAAAATTCCATAATCTATGAACTAAAATTCTATAATCTATGAACTAAAATTCCAGAATAAATGAACAACATAATGTTGTTGCTGGGAATCAAACCTGATTTTTCTTTTTTTTAAGGAAAGACGCGCGTTTTTAATAAAACGACGTCCGCATAACTACTCAGACAGTGGTATTTTGACTGTCAAATGCTTAGCTTAGCTTGGATGAAAAGAAATGATATGATAGAAAATTAGAAATAGAGAAAAGAAGACAAAGACGCAACTTGAGACTTTCTTCCACTAAAAAAGAGACGACTTGGAGTCAACTCCACCATATGCTCTATATAATATACGAAGCTTCTCGATCTCCACATTCCTTACTAGTTAAACCTCATTCCAATGTCATGATGACAGTGATTGCAGATTTTTCACAATATCTAAAAAAAATTGAATCACTATTGTGAACTTGATGTTGATGAATTTAATAACATAACAATTTTTTTAATTTTTTTTGGCAAAAATATAACGGTAACAATCAAACGCGTAATCATATAATAAGTACGAGAATTATACTCCACTCACTCGATCAAATCTTTCATGATAATTATATTGTTCTTTGTTCTTAATTACAGTTAAAGACAAGTGATATACATCTTTAGTTTATAACTTACCTAAGTCACGTCTAATATCAAAAGAAAATCTTGTTACATAATTTATAATTATACGACAAATATAGCACAGATATTATTATAAACTTAATAAATAGGTCATAAACTCAAGTTACATGAATAGCTTAATACTTATATTTCATATTAATTTAAGTTGAAATGAACCGACATGCAAATGAAATGAAAATAAAAGTTGTTTGACCATGTGTATTTAGTGGATGTGCACCTAACATCATATATATATATATATATATATATATATATATATATATAGATAGATATATATTGAGTTGACAGCTATGTCCATAAATATGCCATTTGTACACCTCTCCTTCCACTAATCTCCATCTCCACAACTCACGTCTAAAACTATAATTATTAATTACTATTATTAGAAAAACAAAAACAAAAAAAAAAATACTATTATTAATACATTTGGAAATTGCTCAATCTATCTTCTCTATTTTCTTGATCTCCCTCTCCCAAATAATCAAAGCTTAGCTTCCAATTTTCTCGAAGAAAACGAAAAAAGGGATAGCAAACTAACATGTCGGGTGGAATCGGGCCATGCAGTGACATACATCTCCAGAAGGAGAAGGAGGAGCAGACGGCGGCGGTGACGGAAGTAGCAGGGAAGCCGGCGCGGCGGGGATTTTTGAGCTTACGGCAGCTGAACGTGTTGGCGGTGATGATGGTGCTGTCGGCCAGCGGCATGGTGAGCATGGAAGATTTGGGGTTTGTGGTGTTCTCAATCATCTACTTGTATTTCATCTCCAAGGCGGCGTTTCCGCAGACCACTCCGCCGTGGACTGGTTCCGTGTTTGGCCAAAATAACCGGACCCTCCGCCTCTATATGTTGACTTCGGCGGTCATCGGCTTGCTTCTCCCCGTAGCCTATATTTTTGAAGGTACGCCTGCCTTTTTACTTACTAGATGGAGTTATTGTTAAAACCCAATAATCCGTCTATCAGTCAATTTTAACTTATTTGATCTGTTTGACTTGATTAAATAAACAATATGAGTATTTGATTAATTAATTTTTTGTAACAGCTTATTTTTCTCAGTTAATTTACAGAACACTTTTCTGCAATCAGTTAATATTATCAACTTGTTAAATTCATTAACCCAATCAGCTAATAACTATTTAATGTTTGCAGGTATTGTTGAAGGGGACAAGGAGGGCATTAAGGCAGCAGTTCCGCACTTGTTTCTATTGGGCAGCCAGGTGTTCATGGAAGGGGTGGCGTCCACAGAGCGGTTCTCATTGCCGGTCCGGGTTTTCGTGCCGGTTTTCTACAACGCCAAGAGGATTTTCACCCTGGCTGAGTGGCTGAGAAGTGAGATATCCAAGGAGAGTAGTGGGCGGAGGTTGTACGTTGGGAGAGGTCTGGCGGTTGCCAATATGGCGTTTTGGTGCTTTAACTTGTTTGGGTTCTTGGTGCCGGTTTACCTCCCTAAGGCCTTCAAGATTTACTATTCCAACCACAAGCATAATAATTAAGGACTAATTATATTATTATTACTAGTTGTCACTCATTTGTTTTATCCTAACCAATGTTATTTTGTTCTGTTTTTTGTGTGTGTTCTGTGAAAGATAGTTAAATACAGTTATACAGGGTAGAAAAAAGAAACTCATTTTCCATTTTTAAGAAAAGAAAAGATCAGGGGTCTTGGTGCCAAATTGCTCTTTCATATGGAGAGGTTGTGAATTTGAGCTTCAGTTGAGTTGATGCGTTATTAACTCGTGTCAGATATTCTATATACGAAGAATGGCTCATAATTTTTAAAATTTACATAATTGGTCCACAAATATTATTTTTTTAAGCACAAAATGAAATTTTCATCAATTTTTCACTGAAACCCTACCCCTACCCCTACTATTAAGTATATCTATTATCTATTATTCCGTAGCATTTTTTGTGACTATCTTCTTGTGAACTATTATCTAAAGATCGAGTATATATTAAGTCTGCTATTATGGGATATAATATGAACTCAATAACTTAAAAGAAGCAAGAAGCAAGAACAATATGAAATGTAAATTAAAAAGAAACAAAAATATAAATAAGCCATTTAACTATTTAAGAAATAACAATTAAATCACTCATTTCGAATAAGCTCGCTCTAAATAAATTAATACAACACTGAAAATATAAATGAAAACGTACACTAATAAAGGTAATGGTAAACAACATCAGAGTATAAACACTTTTGGTAAAACGTTGAAAAGGGTGGGTGTGCTTGAAAGTCTAAACTGCAGGAGGGAAATAATGTAATTAGTTGACCATTGCATTGCCACAAACAATTCCTTTTTCTTTGGAAAGTTAAGTTATTTGTACCCACCAACCAGTCCCAGGTTTAGAACTCCATTTTCAGAATTCATAAACTGGGCAAAGAGTATCACAACATGGCAGTGGCAGAATTGCTCACCTTCATATACACAATAGTAATGCATTATCCACCTTGGCATGCATCATATCGATTCTCCGGTCTTCAACCCAGCTTATCTTAGAACATTTCGATCTTCCACCACCATTGTCTGCTTGTTTGCTTGCTTCTTCTCGACAAAAACCTTTGCTACTTTGCCTTGGAGAAGCCGAGAGAGCACCTAATTTGAACATCTTTTTAGAGAACTGCTTCCATTCATAGACGATATTGGTAAAAATTTCCTCTCTTGACCCAAGCATAGAAGCTCCTGCTTTCTCTCTGGCCAATTAGAGTTCAGCCTTCGAGCAAAATCCTCAACCTCCCTGTACCATCCAACAACAATCAAATTTAGAACTCAAGTTTACATCAATAGGTTAGTGTTGAGATTGTGAGATAAATCCGTCAAGGTGGAGATTTGTTGAATTGTCTTTTCTCCTAAAGGGCATATTCGCCAAGGTGGAGATTGTGAAAGCCAGCTAATCTGTTGTCTACAGGAGTGAAACTGTTCTTTTACAAATAGTGATCGTGATGGTGATACAACCAAACATCTATCCCTATACAATAGGTCTGACCCAATTGGCTCAACTACACACAATTTCCTACTCTCCCCATCCTTGATTGCAATCTATCGTGGCTCACACTTTTTTTAAAATTTTTTTTCCTTTCCATCTAATGCAAGCCTTTCAAAACTTGAAAGGCTTGCAAGTCTGATTTGCAGCTCTTTGGTAGCTTTTAGCATGGATTTTTTGACTTTTTCCCTTTTATAATAAGTTTCAATGTTATGATATTATTATTATTATACTTGAAGATGATTTGGAATTTCAAGGATGCAGAGAAAAGTGTTGAATTGCAAATGTTATAATATGGCAGAAGGGAATTGAAAGGGTAAAGATAGCCTTACAAATCATAAGTTAACAGATGAGATGTACTCAACACCTAAAATGCCAAGATGAAAAACAAATAAATGTAAACAAAACCATCATACCTATCGATTTCCTCCTCCCTTGCAGGGTCAAATTCATCATCGATGTCACCATCATCAAGTTCAAGCTTAGGTGTAAATATAACCGTCCCGGAGTCATGTGGATTAGAAGTTCTTCTTGAAGGAGGCCTGCGATCAATGTCTCTATTCAACTGGTTGGGAGGGAGACAATTATCCTGAAGTATCAAGAGACCTGTGATATATCACCAGGCAGAACAAAAGCAGAAGATAACAGTACGCGCGCGCACACATAAAATAAAAATAAAATAAAAAAATTGTTTTGGGTCAACCTTATTGCCACCAGGCTCATTGTTTGAAGAACTTGTAGCTTGATCTTTTCTCCGGCGATTTTTCTTTTTATTCTTAGAAGTACGTACATCTGAATATGGCGGGAAAAAAAAGGACATCATTATTTTGAATCTGTTAAAAGAGTCCACATTGAAAATATAAGAGATAACATATGGGTTTTATAAGACCATTGGTTAGACTAGCTAATTGATTGGATTCAATCTTTTAGTGTGATTTGGCCCATGTACATTATACCCTAATTGAGTGACCTTGCCAATCTTAGATTATAACATGGTATCAGGCCTGTTTGGTGCACAAAAGCTCTGACAAATCAAGAAATTCCAGTATGAAAACTATGTGAATATGTGTTTCTTAAGGTTACCTCCATCTCCATCTCCACCATTTATGAATGACAAAAGATCATCAACCGACCGTTCATCCACCACCTGCTCTTCTTCTACCTCAACATTCTGAAAATATGGGCAACCTTTAATACTAAAGTATCACTTTAAAAAAAGAATATCAATATTCAAGGTATGTGAATAGAGAAACACTTTTATTATGATAGGAAAAAATAATAGCGCAACTGAATAGGCTCAAGAACTCCATGTTCAAACACCTTTGACTTCTGTTTTTCTTTTAATTGTTTCCTTTTTCTTGCATAAAGTCGATTCAACAGTCGAATACGTAGATCATCAGTCTCATTTCTTAAGGGCTCCAACTTCTCCTCCTGCCAAAAATCACAAAAGTATAATGAATACCCAAAATATGGTGGAGGGGTCTATAAATATAGAGTTGTAATGAATCATACCTCTGTTAGATCGTCAGGTAAATGGAATATTTCACGAATTTCTTCTGGAGTTTTTCCTTCGATCATTCGAGCAAGTGCACGACTGGTAAGATCAACCAAAGGCCTCAATTGGAGGCTGTCAGCAGCAGATGTTAATTCGCATAGTTTTTTGGTATCCAACCGGACAAACTTCTCGTCAAAAGCCTTGCGTTCCTAAGTACACACACAGTCACATACATCGATCAAGTTAAAACTCCACACCTCCAATAGCCTCTTACACGTACAACACAAAAACGACATGATGCATAGTTACAGCAGATAACTAACGCTTTGAATATGCTATCATCATGATCACGTCTTTTTTCTTTCACTCTTTCTATTGCGTAGGAAGTGGGGGTTTCATATACCGAGGATGCCAAGAACAGACCTTATTTGAATGACCTGGTACTTGATGGAACCGACAGTAGTCCAGTATTAAGCCCAAAATAGAAGGATTTACTCGTTGAGGAAGTGATATTGCATAATTTTTTGAGGAACCCATGCCAGTCTGGAGAACTTCTCTACATATCATAGGACAAAACATAGCAACCTCTTCCTCTACTTGTTGAATTGAACCATCAGCAGTTTGAAGCCATATGTATGACATCATCTTGTCAAATAAAGAAATATTAAATTAAGCAAAGGAAACGTGGCATATACTTGAAGGAGAACAGACACAAAAATAGCAATACACTAAAGAACTGAAACTTGTTGAATTTGAAAGATCCAAAGGCCTAGCGGGTGGAGAATAACAACCACCCACCAGTTAGGCGTAAGTAGAGATGAAGAACCAAGAAATGAGAAAATGTATATAATACTGAAAGATTACAATACATTACTATAATTCTATGTTTCTAATGAAGAAACATATTTCTAATGAAGAAACATAGTACATATATATACAGACATTAATTTAAGCCCCTATTCATAAACAGACAAAACCATATAGACAGACATAACCCTTTGTTTTTCAACAAAACTCAAGAATTTCATTCCATAAACAGGGAACCATAAATTTGATTCTCATTCAACCATCACTGTGGTTAATAGTTCAACCATACAAATTAAGTGGAAAATCTATAAATACCATATCTTCAATCTCCAACTCCAACTCCCCCTCCCTCCCAAATTTTTAAAAAAAAAAGAGAAGTGTTTTAATGTCCTTGGAACCAGACTAAACATAGCATTTTTAGAATAAATATGATTTCCCATTCCTAAAAAATGCCTAAAATTGCAGTTTGATAATGAGATGTCATGTTGTGGGTATGAAATGCATCACAAAGTCTTTATGTTGCAATCAAATTATGCCGCAAGGGGTGGGCTTTGAATAGAAACACATGTTCTAATCCTTATGAAACTAAGCTAAACATACCACGCTTCTTTTTACATGCTTAAACCTGAAATAAAGCTCAAGAACATCTTGATATCAGATCAATTTGACAAAATAATAACACTTTCTTCCACTAATCTTTTTTGAGTAACTTGCACAAACTGCTAACTTTCAACTCTTTTGTTCAGTCTCCATTCAGTGCATTGCATTTTGTGTTGGGTGGATTGAATTAAATTTTAGGAATAAGGGTCAAATAGGCCATCGAACTGCACCTAATAATGCAATTAGGCCATCGAACTTTAAAAAGCAACAATTAGCTCCCTGAACTAACTAATTCTATTCAATTAGTCCAATTTGTAGGTTTTGGAGGTTATTAGCAGGTCACCCCTAATTTATAATATTTTTAAAAAATTATTATTTAAAATACTTATTTAAAATTAAAAAAAAAAAAAAAAAAAAAAAAAAAAAAAAGATACCGTCTGCCGGAGACGAAGAAACCTTCTTCGTCTCCGGCCATGGAGACGGAGTTAATTTCTTCGTCTCTGGCCGGAGACGAAGAAGGTTCCTTCGTCTCCGGCCAGAGACGAAGAAGTTAACTCCGTCTCCATTGCCGGAGACGAAGAAACTCTTCGTCTCCATGGCCGGAGACGAAGAGTCTCTTCGTCTCCGGCCATGGAGACGAAGACATTCTTCGTCTCCGGCCATGGAGACGAAGATATTCTTCGTCTCTGGCTGGAGACGAAGAATATCTTCGTCTCCAGCCAGAGACGAAGAAGATTTCTCCGTCTCCATGGCCGGAGACGAAGAAACCTTCTTCGTCTCCGGCGTGTCAATCTCTGTTTTTTTTTTTTTTTTTTTTTTTTTTTAATTTTAATTATTAATATTAAATAATTATTTTAAATAATAATTAATTTTTTTTTTGAAAAGAGGTAACCTGCTAACAACTTGGAAACCTACAAATTAGACTAATTGAATAGAATTTGTTAGTTCAGGGACCCAATTGTAGCTTTTTGAAGTTCGGTGGCCTAATTGCATTATTGAGTGCAGTTCGATGGCCTATTTGACCCTTATTCCTAAATTTTAAAACAAGTTCTATAAAATCAAACTCAACTAACTTAAATAATGCATTTTTCCCCTTGAGAATGGACCAAAAGCACCAATCAATTAATTAACTGCTAATAGGTGATTCTCCTTTTAGAAATTGAACAATTGTTTGAACTTGAGCTTAATGCTAAAAAATAATACTAATTCCTTGAGCTTCACATTTCACATTGTTGTTAATTTGTAAGGTCACAGATTACAAATACTTGAAATCAGAAGGTGGGCTCCATGACCAACTCAAGCCAGATTATCCATCTCAAAGCCAGCATATGTGGCATGATGTCGGGTTATCAAACTGCAACTTCATGTTGTGTTGCGTTTCAGACATGCTACATAATGTCTTATTTGGAAAATGTGATTTTATGTCTCATTCCTTGAATGTGAAAATGCATTATGGAACAATTTGGACATAATCACATCTCTCAGTAAATCACTCTTTTTTCAATTCAAGACGAAATTATCTTTGGGGGAAAAGACCATCATAAATACCTCGGGTTTAACAACTGCCATAAGGCCTTCTGACATTAGGCCAGACGAGAATGATTTGATTGGTCTTCGTAAAAGTGATCTACAGATGTGGCTCTGAACTTAAGCAACTGAAACTTTACTTTTAAAAAAAGTAAACCTCAAGGAGAAAGCAAAAACTCTTCACCAGGTGAACACTTCCAATTCCAATAGCACATCTATATACATGTTTTCAACAAACGAAATGAGAAGGAAGTCAGTTTTAGACATTCTCTTCAATGAAGAAAACATCCTACCTCAACAAATAAAATAAAATAAAATAAAATAAAATAAATAATGCAAACATGAATCAAGTTAAGTGCTGAACAACTAAAGTATCAATTAATTAAAAGCCACAGATATTAATGTTCTTCCTGATAAGCCAAATGGTTTAGAGCCAAAACATCTCAACGGTTGGTTTGGATAAAACATCTCCATTTCATACTTGTGTAACCCTTGAACTTTAAGCTTCAAAGGAAATAAAAAAACTTACACAACATTTTTGACTATTTCAGCTAAAACACAAGCTATAAGTAAAAATGGGGGCTCCTATTCTCTGTAGTCTGTACTATATTGTATATACATCTTTGTGCACATGTAGCCACGTAGGTATCTCCCCCATGCCCGCACGGACTTATCTCAGTGGTTTAGTAGGCAATATTTGGGAGAAGAGACCAAGGTTCGAAACTCAGCAGCGGCAGTGTGGGGATTATACCCAAAATGGGCAGATCCCTTGTACACACCGGCATTTGGCCATGTCCGCTGAGCCACTAAGTTACCGTGATTTACCTACTCTCACATGATCTGTCGGGCCGGGGCGTGGGGGTCCTTAGGGTTGGGGATTCAACCTTTTGGGAGAAGGTATCTCCACCAAAACAAAATAAAACAAAATAGGAATATATTTAATGCAACATGAAATAAAGAATTTGTGCCTATCATAAAAAATAAAATGATAAATTCTTTTCTAAACGAGTATTTCCTTTCCAGGCATAGAGCCCTCTGTGAACTATATTCTTGTTTCAATTTCGAAATAAGCTCTCTATGATGCAGTCATTTCAGACTTCAGTAAGGCAAGAACAGGATCATCTTCTAAATCAATTTTCGCAATTTTAGTTTTCTTGTCGATTTTCAATGTGAGTTCAAAGAAACTTTTTCATTTGTATCAATAATTAAATCAAATAAAAAGATCCAATTATCTACAAGGAGAAAAAGTGTCTGACCATCCGCCATGCTTTAATTACACTACATGATTTGGTTTTAACAAACTAATTACGCCAAACAAAAATCCATTCAAATTCTACTAGAACCCAATATTGAACTAAAGAAGCAGTTTTATTAGATTGAACGAACTAATTAGGCCAAAAATGCCATCCAAATCCAATAAATCCCCAAATTTTAACTGAAGAAACATGTCCAGTCAATTAAATAAACTAATTACACAGAAATGTGAGAAAAATCCAATATTTAGCTGTAGAAACAGTAATAAGTAACTAAGCAAACTAATTACACCAAAAATGCCAGGTAAATCAGAAAAAAAAAATCCCATCTTTGACTGTAGAAAAAATTGTAATAAATTAGAATTGGGAAGAGTAAATGCATTATTAAGATGAGAAAATGAAAATAATTGCATACCTGAAGCAAAAAAAATTGAATATTGAATATTGTGTAGTAAAGTGTGGAAAGAAAGGGCGGAGGAGATAGTGAAAATGAAGCTCTGTTTTCAGGTGTTACTGTAATCCGTTTTCTGCATTTCTGCAGCGCTGTTGGACCGGCACGTGATTTCAATTGGCACGTGGAGCAGGTTATGACCCACATCCATGTCCATCTCCTTCACAATATTGTCTACATAGGATATCCAAAAGACACCGTATTTATTTATTATAATTTTTTTTTTAAAAAAAAAAACTTTTTTTTAAATAAATTTTAAAAAATATCATTCATTTTTATTTATAACTTGTATTTTACTCGTGCAATACACATATCATGTATTAAAATAATAAATTTTTTTAAAAAATAAAACAATATTACAATTTATAATAATAGTAAGAGTAAATTTCAGCAAAGGTATATTGTCATTTAAAAAAACAACAACAATTTTGTGAATCATTTACTATAGTTGTAAAGCAAAAAAAAAAAAAAAAAAAAAAAAGCCTCTTTTTTGTCATCAAAAAAATACTCTTTCCTAAAATAGGACTTCACCGAAAAAAAATCATCAGAAAGACAAAAACTGTCAAAAATATAATAGTTTGGAGGTTAAATGACAAAAACGATTTTCTAGAATTAAATTTGAAAATGTAACCCAAGACAATGGACCTTTGTTGGAATTAACTCATTGAAAAAATAATTTTAAAAAATTGAAGAGACGAAATACCCTTACTTAAAATAGGCTTCACCGGAAAAGTCATCGGAAGGACCAAAATGGTATAAAATATGATAGTCAAGAATGTTAAATAACAAAAACGATAGTCTGAGACTGAATTTGGAATTGCCACAAAAAACAAGAGATCTCCGCTGAAATCTATAATTCTATATTCTATAATTCTATAATATATATAATAACAAAATCCTGAAATTTTAACTTCCCGCCCAATTCCTAAAAAATCTCTCTTCCCAATAAAATATATTGATTTCTACTTTCTCATTCGTACAATAATTCTGGGTAAAAATTCTATTCTAAAATTTTAAAATAGTGTAACACAATTCCCTTTGTACATCTATACTTACTATATATAATAACAAAATCCTAAAATTTTAACTTCCCGCTCAATTTCTAAAAAATCTCTCTTCTCAATAAAATATATTGATTTCTACTTTCCATTCGTACAATAATTCCGGGTAAAAATTCTATTCTAAAATTTTAAAATAGTGTAATACAATTCTCTTTGCACATCTATACTATATACTAGTTTTTTACGCGCATTGCGCGATTAGGATAATGCTCAATGTTTTTTTGTTAAATAAGTACTTTAAAGTATATTAAGGCAGGATTATATTGAAATTGTGCATGCATAGATGATTGAAGGTTGAATTTGCGTATTTAAATAGGTAATTATTCTCCCAAAGGTTGAGTCCCCAACCCCAAGGGCCCCCCACAATCCGACCCGACAGAGCATTGTGGGAAGTTGTAAATCACGGTGACTCAATGGTTCAGCAGACAGGGCCAAATGCTGATACGCACAAGGAATCTGCCCACTTTGGACATAATTCCCGCACTGCCGCCGCTGAGGTTCAAACCTTGGTCTCTTCTCCCAAATACTACCCACTAAACCATTGAGCTAAGCTCGTGCGAGTTAAATAGGTAATTCTAAGTTTACAGATGCAAGATAATATAGTCAAGATTGATTATAATTGTCAATAAAATAATTGTATAGGTATAGTTGAAACCAAATACGGGACATAAGGGAGAACAAATAAAAATTAGGGCATAAAATATTAAATATATACTAATATTGTTTGAGGAGATTCCGACATTAGGATTTGTGGTTAAGTTCTATTAATACTTTAATATTAGAATTAGATTAATGGTGTAGTTATAATTCTATATTAGACTTTAATATTAGAATTATACTAACGGTGAATTAACGGAAAAGTTAAATGGATAATCATATAATTAATGATAAATTAGAAAATCTTAAAAGAAAAAAATTAAAACCCGAACAATATGAACCATTCATTTGATTTAATAATTTGGCCGGTCATTTTTTCTACCCAATGTTAATAATTAAATAAATTCGCTGATCAAATCCGCTAACGCTAACCGTTAACTGCTGATTGTCAAACAAGGACGTTGCGAGGTAGTTCTCACTTCAATTTGTTATGTGATTTGAATACTCTCTTTGTCACAAAATCTTTCAAGTAGTTAATATGGTTGGCTTTATTAATTATATTTTTTTAATTTTTTCATGGTATTAATAAAATACTTGGTAAATAAATATATAGCATTATTTTGTATTATAACTTTGATATTTAATTAGAAAAATAGTGCAAAAAAAAAGATAATAGATAATGTAGTGAATATAATCAATTGATGAATTTGAATGTAAAAATTTTTACATTTGAGAAAAATTAAGACAATATAACTAATGAAAATATTTCTTTTAATTAATTTATTGATAATTAATAATTTTTTTTCACTGAATAAAGAAATTGTAAGGACAATGTAGCGAATATAATCAATTAATAAATTTGAATATAAATAATTTTTATATTGAAGAAAAATAAAGACAATATAACTAATAAAATTATTTCTCTTATTTAATTTATTGATAATGAATAAATTTTTTTTTTGAATAAAGGCATTGTAGACACATAATTCTAAATTAAAGAAATGCATATGTATTATTTTTTGTTGTAACTACTAAATTATTATTTATATAATTTAATAAGAGTAAAATAGAGTACTAATTATGCCAACTTTGATTGGGATGTGGTTCGAACCTAAGACATTTTTTTATTGAAATCAATGAGTAAGTTAACGGTGAACTAACGGCAATTCTTAAAATTTTAACGGAATTAGTAACGGTGTGTGGGTATTTTAGGAAATTTTAGTGTAAAATTTAAATCTGATCAATCTTTTAATCAATCTGAGCCATTCATTTGATTAAAATCTGCGACCGCCATTTTTTCTACCCATTATAGGCCTAACTCTCTTGGGCTCTTATTAGTATAGTAGATAATAACAGAATCCTGAAATTTTAACTTCCCGCTCAATTCCTAAAAAATCTCTCTTCCCAATAAAATATATTGATTTCTACTTTCCATTCGTACAATAATTCTGGGTAAAAATTCTATTCTAAAATTTTAAAATAGTGTAATACAATTCTCTTTGCACATCTATACTTACTATATATAATAACAAAATCTTGAAATTTTAACTTCCAGCTCAATTCCTAAAAAATCTCTCTTCCCAATAAAATATATTGATTTCTACTTTCTCATTCGTACAATAATTCTGGGTAAAAATTCTATTCTAAAATTTTAAAATAGTGAAACACAATTCCCTTTGTACATCTATCTATACTATATATAATAACAAAATCCTAAAATTTTAACTTCCCGCTCAATTCCTAAAAAATCTCTCTTCCCAATAAAATATATTGATTTCTACTTTCCCATTCGTACAATAATTCTGGGTAAAAATTCTATTCTAAAATTTTAAAATAGTGTAACACAATTCCCTTTGTACATCTATACTATATATAATAACAAAATCCTGAAATTTTAACTTCCCGCTCAATTCCTAAAAAATCTCCATTCCCAATAAAATATATTGATTTCTACTTTTCCATTCGTACAATAATTCTGGGTTAAAGTTGTGATGTGTCAAAAGTTCGGCAAGGCATTACTTTTGACTCGGTTGTCCGTTTTGGACAAATGTTTTTTTTGAAATCGCGTATTTTTTTTAGATCTATCCACCGCAAACAGCCGTAGGCGGTTTGGCCCACCAATTTCTAAAAAAAATGCTTTATTAAATAGTTTCTAAGAAAAAACTATGAGAACCTTATGTTTTATTAATGAATTTTTAAATTTTTTAATTAAAAATTTGTCCCGTTCATTATTTGATAATCTCTCTTTATAATTGGTCAAATTATTTAATTATGGTAAATTAGGGAATAATTAATGATGGTAATAGAAATCCTAGAAGAATATTAGAATTGAAGAATATTTAATTCTTGTTATATTATTATTGTGACTCACGAAATACAATACAAGAATATTTAATTATGGTTATATTATTATTGTGTGCCTCACGGCCATTATATACTAACAAAAATTGAAAAGAAAATAATAATAATAATAATAATAATAATAATAATAATAATAATAATAATAATATAAGCGGTAAAAACAATATTTAAAAGTAATTAAGTGTTAATAATAATAGTAAGAATATTAACGTAAGAATTATAACATAGAATAAATCATAATAATTAATAACTATAGTCTAGGATTAAATTTGAAATTATCAAGAAAGATAAGCGACCTTTGGTGAAATTAACTCTTTTATCAACACCATCCATAGTCAACACCATCCATAGCTAACATCACACCATCTAACTAACTTTGTAACTATCTTTGTTAGGATAGTTTAGAAGTTAGAAGTTAGCTCTTGGAAGGCTATGTAAATATCCTATGTGATATATATAGCTATATGAAATCAGTACACAGGTGATGAGATACATTTTCTTCAATGAAACAGTGAAACACTTTCCTCTTCTTTCTCCATCTTTTCTCCTCTCTTTCAATCCGGCAGTTAGCTTCTTGATATGGTATCAGAGCTGCAATGGCTTGGCGCCCACCATCTGCTAATATGGTTCAGCAAGGAGCTCCAAATCCAGCCGGTCAAGCTTCTACATCAAACCAAAATGCAAACCCTACTCAAATTCCTGCTTCTGGTTCAGCTGCGAATTTCGATCCCAATGATCAAACAAACCCTCTTCATCTCCACGCCAATGAGAGCCCTACTCTGCAGTTGGTGACAGTTCAACTAGAAGGAAGAAGCAACTATCATAGTTGGGCAAGAGCCATGGAAATGGCACTGAGGTCCAAGAACAAGATGAGCTTTGTTAATGGGCTTGTGGCGGCTCCAAACAAGCTTGATCCAAGATATTACTACTGGGAACGATGCAACACCATGCTCCTGTCTTGGATTCTGAGGGCTCTGTCTCCTACCATAGCCAGCAGTGTCCTTTGGATCAATACAGCTGAAGGAGTATGGAAGGACCTGAAGAAGAGGTTTAGCCATCAGGATGTCTTCAGGGTTGCTGAGATCCAGTCCCAGATTTATCAAACAAGGCAAGGTAACTCTAACATAAATGAGTACTTTACACAATTGAAGTTGTTGTGGGATGAACTCCTTGTTCTAAGACCCATCCCTAGTTGTGAATGCACTCCTAGTTGTGCTTGTGGGAACAACATGGCTGAGAAAGTAAAGACACATTTAGAAAATGATATGCTATCTGCCTTTTTTATTGGCCTGAATGATAGCTATACCAACACTAGACACCAGATTATGCTAATGAAACCACTGCCTGATGTTGGTGAGGCCTTTTCTATGGTTTCACAACAAGAGAGACAAGTAAACATAGAGGCCAGTGGATTAGGGGATAACATCACAAGAATGAATGCTTTTTTCACAAGGGCAAATAACAGTAGAAGAGCCTTTCCAAATCAGAAGCAAAAACCTGTGTGTAGTTTCTGTGGGTACACAGGACACACCATTGAGAAATGTTACAAGAAGAATGGCTATCCCCCTGGTTGGAAGCCAAGAAACAAGGGCATGAGTTCTGTCAATCAGGTGCAGGGACCTGTGCAAGAATCTGCTAGTTCTGGTAGCTTAGAGACCAGTCATTCCTTTACTCAAGAGGACTGCAGAAGGTTCTTTGAATTTATGCAGCAAGAGAAGGCCAGGGCTAATACCCCACTTGATCTCAATCCACAAATCAACACCATAGCTGCAAACTTCATTCCCAACAGTCAGTTTGAAGGTACAAGTACTAACACTGAATCTGAATGGATTATTGACAGTGGTGCCACACATCATATTGTGTGCAGTACACTCCTACTTCACACATCCAAAAAGGTGCAAGGAGTTAATGTTGACTTGCCAAATGGACACCATGCAGAGGTGTCACACATTGGGACAGTTCACTTGTCTGCTGATTTGATTTTGCAGAATGTTCTATGTGTTCCTTTGTTCCACTATAATCTCATCTCTTTGGGACAGCTTCTAAAAGGCTCTAATTACAGCACAGTCTTCCATACTGACCAATGCATTATACAGGATCAACACTATGGGAAGATGATTGGTGTGGCTAGGCTAAAGGAGGGACTCTATCACCTTACTTTTCCCATTTCTGCTCACTGCAAGTCTGTTGGTTTTCCTATTGTAAATACTTGTAGTTTTTGGCATGCTAGACTAGGGCATGCCTCAGAAGGAAAGATAAAAGTTCTACATGCTTTAGACAATAAAATTTGTAATGACAAGCCCACAGCTTGTGAATGTTGTCATATGGCTAAGCAAAAAAGGTTTCCTTTCCAGTCTAACTCATCTACTTCTACTCACTGTTTTGACCTTGTTCATGTTGATATATGGGGTCCTTTTCATGTTGCAACTGTTTATGGTCATAAATACTTCTTAACCCTGGTGGATGATCATAGCAGGGCCACTTAGGTCTATCTCATGAGGAACAAGACTGAAGTAAAGCACATTATGCACAACTTCTATGAACTAATCAACACACAGTTTGGGAAAAGCATTAAATGCATCAGGTCTGATAATGGGAAGGAATTTCTTATGGAAGAGTATTACCAGAAAAGAGGTATTATTCATCAAACATCATGTGTGTATACCCCTCAGCAGAATAGTATTGTGGAGAGAAAACATGGACACATTCTGTCTATGGCAAGAGCAATAAGATTTCAAGCTAGTCTACCTGAGGAATTTTGGGGTGATTACATCCTACATGCAGTGTACTTAATAAACAGGCTCCCATCAACAGTTTTAGGTAATCAAGTCCCATACCAAATCCTCTTTAATAAGGTCCCACAATACCAGCACCTTAAAGTGTTTGGATGCTTAGCTTTTGCCACAATTCCTAGCTGCCAAAGAGATAAGTTTTCACCAAGAGCCAGGAGATGTGTCTTCCTGGGATTTGCTAATGGGGTAAAGGGATACAAATTGATGGACTTGGACACTAAAGAGTTTCTTCTGTCAAGAGATGTCTTATTCTATGAGAGCATCTTCCCTTTCCAGGACTCACAAACCAAAAAACCTTCCAACTTGGTTCTACCCACAGAAGATATGTCCCAATTGAGATATGATGAGGATATTATCCTGCCTGCTACTAAAATCACAGCTGATTCACCTGGCCCACCTGAGAATCACTCTGATGCTCCAGTCCAGGACAATAGTCTTGGCAACACAGAATCAACAGATCCTGAGCCAAGAAGATCAACAAGAGTCAGAACTAAGCCTGCCTACCTTGGTGATTATGCCTGCCAGAGTGTTGTCAGGAGAACATCTCCACATGACATATCTAAGTTTTTGTCTTATGACAGGCTATCCTCAACTTACAGGGCATTTGCTATAAATGCTCTGAATGCAAAAGAACCAAGAACTTACAATGAAGCAATCAAAAGTGAATGCTGGAAAAAGGCAATGGAATCAGAGATCAGTGCTTTGCAGTCCAACAATACTTGGGTACTCACTGATCTTCCTCATTCCAAGGTTCCTATAGGATGCAAATGGGTGTTCAAGACTAAGCTAAAAGCTGATGGGACTATTGAAAGACACAAGGCTAGACTTGTGGCTAAGGGATACACTCAGACACCTGGACTGGATTACCTGGACACATTCAGTCCTGTGGCAAAGATAACAACAATCAGGGTTTTACTTGCTGTAGCTGCAATTAAAGGATGGTTTCTTCATCAATTAGATGTTAATAATGCTTTCCTACATGGGGACCTAAAGGAGGAAGTCTATATGACCTTACCTCCTGGATTTACATCTCCTAAACCTGGCCAAGTATGCAAATTAGTCAAGTCTCTCTATGGATTGAAGCAAGCCAGCAGGCAGTGGAACATAAAGCTTACTCAGGAACTTCTAAGCCTGGGATTCAAGCAAGCCATTTCTGATCCCTCCTCGTTCACTAGAGGCAAAGGTGATGACTTCATGGCCCTATTGGTATATGTTGATGATGTGGTCATTGCAAGTCCAAACTTGGATCAAATGCAACGAATTAAAAGACACCTAGATGTTGCCTTTCACATCAAGGATCTAGGTTCTTTGAAATTCTTTTTGGGATTAGAGGTGGCCAGAAGCAATGAAGGAATTACTGTGAACCAAAGGAAGTACATTTTAGAACTACTTGAAGAAGCTGGATTCATACATTGCAAACCAGCCAAAACTCCCATGGTAACAACAACCATACTGAGTAAAATCACTGGTAACACTCTTGAGGACATCACTCAATACAGAAGGCTTGTAGGGAAGTTGTTATACCTTACAATCACAAGGCCTGACATAAGCTATGCCACACAACAACTATCCCAATTTCTAGATTGCCCCACTGATGAACACCTACAAGCAGCACACAGAATCCTAAGGTATATCAAAGCAACTCCTGGCCAGGGACTCTTCTTTTCAGCATCATCATCTCTGCAGATCGAGGGTTTCAGTGACTCTGATTGGGCTGCCTGCCCTGACACTAGAAGATCTGTGACTGGTTTTTGCATATTCTTGGACTCCACTTTGATATCTTGGAAGTCAAAGAAGCAACACACCATATCAAGGAGTTTATCTGAAGCTGAATATAGGGCCCTTGCAGCAGCAGCTTGTGAAATACAGTGGTTGGTCTATCTTCTACAAGACTTGGAAGCCTACACTGATTCACCAGCCCTCCTCTACTGTGACAGCAAATCTGCCATTGCCATAGCTGAGAATCCAGTCTTCCATGAGAGGACAAAACACATTGAGATAGACTGCCACATTGTGAGAGAGAAGCTACAAAAACAGGTGCTGAAACTGTTGCATGTCACCACCAACAACCAGCTAGTTGATGTGTTTACTAAGCCCCTTAGCATTGATATGTTCTGCAAATTCATCTCCAAGCTGGGGTTACATTGCATATACACTCCAGCTTGCGGGGGGGGGGGGGGGGTATCAACACCATCCATAGCTGACATCACACCATCTAACTAACTTTGTAACTGTCTTTGTTAGGATAGTTTAGAAGTTAGAAGTTAGCTCTTGGAAGGCTATGTAAATATCCTATGTGATATATATAGCTATATGAAATCAGTACACAGGTGATGAGATACATTTTCTTCAATGAAACAATGAAACACTTTCCTCTTCTTTCTCCATCTTTTCTCCTCTCTTTTAATCCGGCAGTTAGCTTCTTGATATCTTTATCGATTTAAATATTCTTAATATATTACAACAATTCCATTCCGTGCATCGCACGGGTGAAAATACTAGTTAATAATAATAATAATAATAATAATAATAATAATAATAAGATTTTTTTTATATATATTTGGCTGGATATGTATTTTTATCGCCACCATTGTAAAACTACCCATAATACAATTACATTCACAATAAAAATCTTATCGATGAAATACACGGTGATTATGGACGTAGAAATTGAAATTTTGTCAGGCTTGTTCATGAGTTGAGTTATCTTTTCAAAATGAAGCTCCTTTTATATAGTGAGTACAAATTTAGCCCCATATTTATCAATTGAGTCATTATGATTCACTCCTCCACAATTTTGTTAAGTCGGAGTGTGAGGATGAGTGGAACGGCGATTCTATTGAAGTTAATGTGTGTAAATAAAGTCGAGACGGATTATATGGGCAAATTATTGTGTGGACCATGGTGCACAAAGTGTTGTGTGGACCATAACAAAAAAAATATATTTTTAATATATTAAAAGTACATAATTTGTGTATTGAATGTACGTTATACAAAATAATGTACTTTCAGTACTAAAATATTGTACTTTCCTTGAATACAATATATAATTTTAAATTTTTAATATACTAAAAGTACATTACTTGTGTATTGAATATACATTATTTGATAGTATAGTCCACACAATAATGATTGGATTATATGTGTTTTTTTTTTTTTTTTTTTTTTTTTTTTTTTTTTTTTTTAAACAGACAGATTATATGTTAATTATAGTAGTGTTAATCATTTAGTTGGTTTGCACGAGCGACTGATTTCTCGTCTGTCCTAGTCATAAAACTGTTAAAAGTACTTTAACCTTAAGTTTAAGTTTTTCGGTATAGCAAAATTTAATTTGATAAAAATTGTGAATGGCACAACCATTCGGATTACAAAGTTTATCTTTCAAGAAAAGAAGTACATTTGGTGTAGTGATATCATAATACCCTCCCACGATACTGACCAAGGTTCAATTCCCTGAATGCGTATTGTCTCTATCTTATCTATTCGCATACATAGTGGTGAATTGATTACCTCAATGGGGATTCACATCCAACCTTTTCGGGAACACAAGTTTCAAGATATATTTTAAAAATAATTTGATTTCCTAATAGAAAGACATTTGTAAGTTATTATCAAGGTGGTAAGTTTGGATAGTTTAACTCAAATTTAAATTTTTTTAATAAAAAAATATTTTGGTTATTTGATATCAAGTTTGAGGAGGGTAAATAGATTTCATCAGAAAGAGATTTTGTAAATTATTATCATAAGTTTGTTGGGGATTCAAATCCAACCATTTTGGGAACAAGTTTCAAGATATATTTTAAAAATTATTTGATTTCCTAATAGAAAAAAATTTGTAAGTTATTATCAAGGTGGTAAGTTTGGATAGTTTAACTCAAATTTAATTTTTTTTAATAAAAAAACATTTTGGTTGTTTGATATCAAGTTTGATAAGGGTAAATTGATCTCCTCAATAGAAAGAGATCAGAGAATACAACCTTTTTGGGAACAAGTTTCAAGATATATTTTAAAAATAATTTGGTTTTCCAAATAGAAAAAAATTCGTAAGTTATTATCAAGGTGGTAAGTTTGGTTAGTTTAACTCAAATTTAAATATTTTTAATAAAAAAACAATTTGGTTGTTTGATATCTTGTTTGAAGTTCCTCATTAAAACTGTAAAAAGTACTTTAAACTTAAGTCTAAGATTTTCAGTATAGCAAAATTTAATTTCAAAAGTATTGTGATTGGCACAACCATTCAGCTTACAAAGTTTATCTTTCAAGAAAAAAAGCGCATTTAGTGTAGTAGTATCATAGTACCCTCCCATGGTACTGACCGGGGTTTAAATCCCCGAATGCGCATTCTCTCTATCATATCTGTTCGCATGAGTTGGTCACAGGGTAAGATTGATTTCCTCAATAGAGAGAGATCTTTTCAAGATATATTTTAAAAATAATTTGATTTCATAATAGAAAGAGATTTCTAAGTTATCATCAACGTGGTAAGTTTGGTTAGATTAACTCAAAATTTTTTTTTTTGATAAAAAAAATATTTCAGTTGTTTGACATCAAGTTTGAAGTTCCTCAGTAAAACAGTAAAAAGTACTTTAACCTTAAGTTTGAGTTTTTCAGTATAGCAAATTTAATTTGATAAACACTGTGAATGACAAAACCATTCAGATTACAAAGTTTATCTTTCAAGAAAAGAAACGCAT